GTCCCTCTTAAACCCTGATAATACCTTTGATCTTGAAATTGACATTGTCTGATATTATAGTCACACAACCCATCTTATACTTGGTGCTTGCATGTTTATCTTATAGCACACTTTTACTTTTCACCTACCTGTGTGTTATTATTTAAAGTGGATTTCTTGGGGCGCCTGGGTGGCGCAGTCGGTTAAGCGTCCGACTTCAGCCAGGTCACGATCTCGCGGTCCGGGAGTTCGAGGCCCCAGTTGGGCTCTGGGCTGATGGCTCCGAGCCTGGAGCTTGTTTCCGATTCTGTGTCTCCCTCTCTCTCTGCCCCTCGCCCGTTCATGCTCTGTCTCTCTCTGTCCCAAAAATAAAAATAAACGTTGAAAAAAAAATAAATAAATAAAGTGGATTTCTTGCGTGGCGGCTGGCTGGTTCAGCTGGCAGAGCATGCAGCTGTTGATCTCTCGGTTGTGAGTTTGAGCCCCATGTTGGGTGTAGAGATTACTTAAGGAAATTTTTTTTAAAGTTATTAAAGTGAGTTTCTTGCAAACAGTGTAGAGTCATATCTTGTATTTTTAATCTGGTCTGACAATCTTTGGTGTTTAGTGGGAATGTTTAGTTAATTTATAATTAATGTAATTACTGGTATGGTTGGGTCTGAGTCTACCATATTGCTATTTGCTTCTGATAGTTCCATCTCCTCTTTGTTTCTCTGTTCATTTTTTGATGACTTCTATCTGGTGAATTGAATGTGATTTTTTAATTATCTGTATCTCCTCCATCGACTTTTTAGCCATACTTTTTTTTTTTTATGTGTTTGCTCTAGATAGTACAACAAGCATCTTTAACTTAACATAGTCTATCTTCAAACAATACTTTTTTATTAAAATTTATTTATTTTTGAGAGAGAGAAAGAGAGACAGAGTGTGAACAGGGGAGGGACAGAGAGAGAGAGACACACACACAGAATGCGAAGGAGGCTCCAGGCTCTGAGCTGTCAGCACAGAGCCTGACGTGGGGCTGGAACTCACAAACTGCGAGTTCATGACCTGAACCAAAGTCTGACACTTAATGACTGAGCCACCCAGTGGAAGGAACACCCCGAGGCAGAGTCCCAAGTCCTTGAAGGGGAACAATAAAGACCGGTGCTGGAGGCAAGGGTAAATAAGTTACACTAAAAGCTTGGGGTCACAGGCTTCCAAAACCTCGGGGCTGAGATCAAGAGGCACAGGTGTGGAGGAAGCACTCTCCTCTTCCACCTGTGCCCAAGGACAACTTCTAGACTCATGATAGTACATTTGCATTGCGGGTATTACCACCACCACCATGGAGAAAGGCTGCCAGGGCCCTTCAGGTACAACTTCGCAGGGTCAAAAACTACCTCCCCAACCTGTGGGAGGAGTTCTCCAAAGGATTAGAAGCAGAAATCTGCCGGTCTCCCACCTTGGAAGTGTACTTTTGCTTTAGCAAACCGCTTTGGCCCTGTTAACTTTCCTTCTGGCTGTCTTTATTCTGAGCACGGACCCTCACATGAATCTTCTCATGGGAATCCAAGGACAGAGACCTCCATTCACACAGCTCAGACTGCCCCACCGGTAACAAGGTCTCCAATCTATAGCCTGTGGGTTAGAAGCACAGGTGGTCACCTGGGCCTGCGACTGCTACCTGCAGTGGCAGGGAAGGCAGTCCTGTAGGACTGAGCCTTTAATGTGTGGAATCTGATTCTATCTCCCGGTGGAGAGTATCGGAACTGAGCTGAATTGTAGGACACCCAGACGGTGTGTAGAAAATCACTGGCGATACGGGGAAGAACACCGCACACACTGGAAATTGGTCTCAGAACACCCATTGCAGGCCATTAAAAGTTCATTTAGATTTTGCCTGTTTTTTCCTTACCCCTTTCAGTATCCGATTTTCTACTCTGCCAGGGATGAATGTAGCCACGGGTCTCTTTTCCCCTAAGAAGGGCCGGTCACTTTCTGGAATGTAGTTCATTTAGATTTCTTTGTGTCCTTATCTCTCTGACAGATGAAGAAAAAAACGCCCACAGCTATGATTTAGTAACTTCTCTGGAGTGTTCTTGTTGCTAGGATAGAAGCAACAGTTTCTCATGACTTTTTACATCCTCACAGGAAATGGCAGTCACCCGATGTCACTTTAGATTTATTTGTGGAAGCCAGTCCCTCAGTGAAAATTGGTATAAGCCTTATGACTTCTGTGATCACTTTCAGTTAATAAAAAGGTCTCATAGTCAGCAAGTCAAATGTTTAGTCCACTATAATAATCAATACTTAAAATTTCATTTAAGTCCCATTTTTCTCGGGTTCAGCTTACTGCAGGCTGGACACCAGCCGTGGGAGAAGGAGCATCCTTGCCTTTTTCTTCCCCACCCCATGCTTTTGTGCTTCCTCTTGTCTTTCTAATCTCCCTTCAGACCCCCCAAGAGGTGGAAACAGCGGGGAGAGCTAAGAGTGAGGAAGCAGAAATGCCTCATTTGACCAACACCAATTTCTGGCTGTGCTGGATTTTTTTTTTTTTTTAAACCCAGCTCTTCCTTGAGACCTTTCATGGATTTTTGGAGTGCTGGGTCTGTCTCCCTTATTTCCAGGGAATCTCTCATCTTGCTTACCTTTCAGGAAGGGAGATCCACCTTTATTGCAAAGGGTTTTTCTTTGTTTGTTTGTTTACATTTATTTATTTTTGAGAGACAGAGAGAGACGGAGCATGAGTGGGGAGGGGCAGAGAGAGAATGAGACAGAATCCGAAACAGGCTCCAAGCTCCGAGCTGTCAGTACAGAGCCCAATGCGGCACTCGAACTCAACAAACCATGAGGTCATGACCTAAGCCGAAGTCGGCCGCCCAACCGACTGAGCCACCCAGGTGCCCCTGCAACACGTCTTTTATGTTTTCCTTAGCTCTTAACACTCTGGCTTCAGTTCAACTGTGAATTTTTCTTCCAGGTATTCCTGTTTAACAGAACCTAAGACATCCCACACTGTCCTTGCTTGGGGTCCTCATCCGGTCCTGAGGAAACACACATTCCTTGCCCAACTTTAGGAGTGCAGGTTCCCTGTGCCATCTCTTTGTTCATCTTCTAAGCAGCTAGCCTCACAACCCTTAACCTTTAGGTTTTCTAGATGTATGGCCATGTATCACACTCTCTGGGCAAGCATCTGGAAGCATCTTTCTTTGTCATGAAATGGAGAGTGAGGATCCCCAGTGCTCCCCCCCATGGGGAACTAGGATTCACAACCCAAGACTATGGTCTCCAAAATACTGGCTCATCTCCAAATCTCCGCCTCTTTATATCCTTTCTGTGGGTCAGAAGCTTAAGAGTCACAAAACTGGTTTTTCACCTCTTTTAGAAATCATATGATCTTTACCTCGCTTTGGGATTGTTAAACACTAGACAACGGGTCCGAAATTGAGTGGCTTCCACTAAGCCCCATGTCACCAAAGCAAAACTTTACTTAATTACGGTTTTGGCTCTGCCACAAATGGAATCTTAAACCAGGCAGTTGGGAATTGCGAGGTCAGCAGTAGTCAGGTAATCTGCCCAGTAGACCCTTTCTATCCCCTAAAGGAAAGCAACCTTGTGATAACCAACCTATTTTTGTCTAGTATAACTTCCTTGTTCCTGTTCCCTTCTGCCTCTAAAAGTCATTCATTTTGTGCAGCTTTTTGGAGCTTCTCTCTATCTGCTAGATTAGAGGCTGCATGATTCATGAATCATTAACTAAAGCCAATAAGATCTTTAAAATTTATTCCATTGGATTTTGTTTTTTAACAAAATGTAACATCTTGGTGCCTCAGTGGAAACTTGCATTTTTAAAAAATTCTGCTCTACAGGAAGGCATGAAAAATTGAAAACGACCCACAATATGGGACTAATTAAGTAAAATTGGGGTACAGCTATTCAAGATCATATTCTGTAGCACCCCACCCCCCAAAAATGATGAGGACACTCTTTATTTGTTGATTTGAAATGATCCCTAAAATACAATGTTAAGCAAAGGGAAAAAAAAAGGAACAGTGTGTAGATACAGGATGCAATTGCTATTTTTAAAAAAGTGGAAATAGATCTGTTTTTGCTTGTGTTTAATAAAATATCTCTGATAGGATACACAGGAAACTGGTTGCCTCTAGGGAGGGATGTTTGGTAGCCAGGGGTAGCTTTTTGTACTTTTTGAGATTTAAACCAAGTGAATATAGGATTATGTTTAAAAAGAAGGTAGTATTAAATTGAAAGAACGCATGCACAGTGAGAAAGTAGAGATTACAACTGATTCTTTCCAGAGCTTGGCTGTGAAGGAAAGAAAAGAAAAGAGTAGGGGCCAGGACTGGGTGCAGGGTTGAGGAGTGAGGTTTTCTTTTTTGTAGCAGAGTCATGGCTATTCCATGGTTTGTATACAATGATGATGGGGTTTGGGAAATGCTACTCTAAATCATGGCTCCTTGGCATATTATTTTAAACTAAAGGGGTTTGAGAAAATGGCAGAAGCAGGAAGGTCACTCTGACTTCCCCCCCCCCCCACCAGTCTGCCCTGCAAGAGATCACAAGACCTTCATGAGAGAGGTGCCCTCTCTATACCTGGAGGGAAGAAACATCCTTATCTGCAAAGACAAAGCGATACTGAGAAGAATCCTAACAAACAAGTCTTGCTAATTTTCCCCAGCTCATTACACTTCCTTCAAACCCTCTGACCTATCACATTCCTACCTGACTGCCTACCCTTCAACTTGAGCATAAAAATACTCAGGACCAAGTGAAGGCCCTCAGGTCACGTAAAACCTGTATTTAAAAAAAAATGTTTCTGCTGTTCTTTTGTTAACTAGTCTTCGTGTCCATTTAATATTCAGATCCAGCCAGGGACTCTAAGGGGGTCAAGGAAATGTTGTTCATTCCCTACAGCTACTATATTGAGTTCTAACCTCCTTCTCCCACCCAAGTATTTTCTGACACCCGCTGAGTGGCAGGAAGCTTGAGATCCTCCTGGGAGATCTTGAGTCACAGCCACAATGGGGATTCGGAAGATATCAACACGTCTCCCGAATGGAGGTGGGGGGAGCAGAGACTGGAATATTCTACAGGACTGCCGCCGAGAGGACTCTAAGGAGTTATGTTCTGAGTTTGCCACTCACATAGCAAATAGTGTGCAAGGAGCCCTCTTGGAGCTGTATAGGGCCTTAGGTCTGTCAGGGACACGCTTGCCATCAGGCTTCTTTAAAGAAATTAGGGCAGACACGTGGGATCCTTTCTCTTCTCTTCTGTCTGCACCCTGCAGTTGTCCAGGCCCCATGCAAGGTACCGAGGTCAGTGTCCACACTGAGAACACTGGGGGGGGCAGAACCATCAGCAGGAGTCTGTACCCCGGCATGGAGTCCTAGCTCAGCAGAGTGAGGCCAGCATTTCGGCGCATTGCAGATTCGGCTGGAATCGTCGGAGGCTGCAGACCTTTTGACAACAGTGCAGTAGCTCTCCAGCAGGGGATGGCAGAACCCCGACATGGGCTGGGAGCAGGCTGGGAGAGGTAGGTCTCTAGCAAGGCAGCAGCAACAAACACAGTTATTTTCATGACTACATGTAAGATCCTCCTTCCTTCTGGGGCTCTCACATAGGCTGGAGGCAGAGGTAGGTGGAGGTTGGGTTAGAATACTTGGCAAGGTGCAGGAAAGCATTTGTAAACTTTTTTTTTTTTTTTTTTTTAACCCGGTGCAATTCGGGTTTAATCTGGAAACTGGTGAAACCCGGGAGCATTTGGGTGGCATTATATTTTTCTTTATTTATGATTTACTTTTTGTGTAGTAGAGACCTGTATTTATTGGCCGCGTTTGAGTAATTAAGAGGAAGAGCTCGAACATGGAAGGGTATATGGAGTCTCTCTGAAGGAGTCCAATCAACCAAATTGCCAAGGCCCTGGTCCCAGAATTGGGGATAATGGTGGAGAGATAGGATTTTTAAAAAAAAAAAAGGGCACCTTTTCTCCGAAGTCAGGAGGGGAAGAGTTGCAGTGGCAATGGTTTCATAAACATGGACTGGACTTCTTCAGTGTAGTCAGGGGCTATCTCGCCTGCTGAGAGATGAGGACTACAAGAGTGGATTGGGGCCCTTTAGGACAGCCGTGAAGGCTTAGCTACTCCTTTTCGGAATTTGTGGTTGACCAGACAATTATAAAATAATTGCTGAGTGGTGCCAAGGGCCCCCCTGGAGTTGAAGGCCATGAATTTGAAGTGACATAGCCTTCCTCAGCCCCTTAAGTCTCTAGGTTAGGTGCCTTCCTGTGCGTTTCCATGGTACTGTTTTCCCATATGATAACACTATGGTGTGGTTGTAGAGCTTCCCTGCTCTGAGAAGAAGAAGAACCTCTCTCTCTGAGGTTGAATACTGTTGTATTCTTTTCTGAGTCTAGGATAGTTTCTTCTACTGTTTCTAGTGCCTAGCAGCCACTCAACAAAACTGGTTATATAAGCCTCAGGGATATGGCAGCTGTGAGATTTCTCCATTCCCTCAAAAATGCTGGGGTAGAGATGCAAAAGAGGCAGATGGAGTGAATGGTCCAGAGTGATTAGAAGATTTTCAGGTGGGTGTAGCTGGGGGTGAAGACGTTAAGGGTGCCGGCAAGAGCCTTATGGACACATGATGCTCCGTGAGGATTGGGTTGGACAGGATTTGAGAGGTGGTGCATGCCAAGGTGAAGAAAAGGTCTGGGGAGAGGCCTTGGGAGTGGAGTGTTTATGGGAACCACTAGAGACGGAGCAGGGCTGGGCTATGACCTTGGCAGGTCCAACTGTGCTCCTGGCCTTGACATTCTACTTCTCAGTGCATTCCTCACAACCTAGTGGGAACCTCCCACCGTCAAGGATAAGGAGGAGGAAAAAGCTTAAACAGCAAATAGATTCTCCTTGAAAAACAGATTTGTGAGTGGGAGGAGAAAGCAGACATTAGAACCAGGTTTTTCAATGACAGTCTTGACATTCAGTTCTTACAGAGAATCTTTCTTTCAAGTAGTTGAAATGAGATTTGCAAAAGGACGTCATGAAACTTTGCGGCTCTCGTAGTGGTCAGTATTTTTATGCCGGTTTTGAAAGCACGGACCATACCGAGTCACCCTTGTAGGCCCTGGGCCCAGCATGTGGGGGTATTGCCCGATAGGCTGACATTGACCTAAAACCTGTCCCCAGGTCTTGCATTCACTTACTGTACTAATAATTAGAATCTATTTCCACGGACACCCCGATCGGTTAAATTTACAGGCCTGTTTTTTGAGCTACCCAAGAAGTTTCCCTTTCTAGCTTGCAGATATCCTGTTTACACAATACCAGGCAGGACAACAAGACACGCTTTGTACAGGTTTCAGAACTTCATGAGTGAGGAGCGCTCACAGGCTCAGGAAGACTGCATTAAGAACGAATGTCTGCCGGGATATGAAATTTCACATCACTCTAGCAAACAAGTACTGGGCATCTTCTCTGTGGAAAACACTGAACAAAGGGAAGAGACGCACTCTTCCTGCTCTCAAGAATTTTACAGTCAGGTGGAGAATGCCGGGAATGGCAGAAATAACTACAAGAGAAGCAGAATTGTGGAGGAGCCAGAGGGAAGATAAAAGGCCATGGAAATTAGCAGAGAGAAAGGAACTGCTTTCTGCGGTGCATAAAGGGCCTTCATTAATTACACTATTAGAAACAAACAACTTTTGTGAGTTGCATATCACTAATATGTTTTGTATTGATGAATAGTAAATTTGTAATAAAATTATGGTATTAAATTATAAAAAGAAAAGTTACTTGGTAGAACGCCACAGCAATCCCAGAGAATATAACTACTACATTATATGAAATTAATGCTTGAGCATCAAGAAGCAATATAGCAGTTGAGAAAGGAGTTATTAAATGGTAAGGGATGTCACAATTGAATATTAATGTGGAGGAAAAAAATTTAAATCCATGCCTCATCCTGAAAATTTCATTAAGTTCCAAATGAATTAGTGGGTTAAACTGTATTACAATCAGAAGAAAATAAAAAAGCCTATTTCTCCCACCGATGAAGAAGAGATATGTGCCTATTATGTTATACATTTTATATCATTTAATAGAATAAATCTAGGAAATATGAGCCATTTCTCCTGGAATGGGAAAATTATAAGATCAACGTATAACACAAACTTACTGTTAAAAACAAAATTTTCTATATACACAGTCAGAACCCATAATGTAGTGGCTTAAAATGATAACCATTTATTTAGCGCCCGAGTCCATGAGTTGGTAGTTTGGACTGACTGCTCCTTTGCTGGTCTACACTGGCTTACTCAGGCATCTGGGGTCAGTTAGGTGGTCCGGCCCCTAAGGCCAGCTGTTGGCTGATGCAGTGGGGCACCTGATCCCATCTTGTCTTGTCGAGGTTTGCTCATGTGCGGCAGATGGGTTCCAAGTGCAGCCAGGGGCAAACCCCAGTGCACAAGTGCTCTACATGTCGCCGCTTGCATCACGTTGGCTACTGTTCAATGAGCCAAAAGAATCACATGATCAGTCCCAGAGTCCATGTGGGAGCGCATTGCCAAAGTATGTAGAGTCAGGGAAGAGGCAGATCGGTGACCATTTTTGCAACCTACCCCACGTCAGTAATTGGCAAAGGAGACAGGCGGCTCTCACACAGAATAGCAGATCATTGCACGGAAACTTGATTTTAGTACTAGTGAATAAAGAAATGCATATTAACATTGGCTTCCAGCCTTTATTTTGTAGAGGAAGAAACTGAGGCCCAAAGCTTTGCTATGATGGTACAGAAGATAACCTCCCAGCCCGCTGACCAAGCAAGGTCTTTGATGCCAAGTCTAGCAGTAAAGGGCAAATCTGGGTTCAAACTCAGCTCTACCATTTCCTCGTGGCGTAACTTGCATAATATCTCTGCCTCAGTGTCATCTTTGCAAAACTGGAAAAATAATACATGCCATATAGATTATGAGGATCAAATGAAATCATGTGAAAATATGCTGTGAGGGGCCTGGTACCTGCTTAGTTCATGTCTCCTCCTCCCCCCCCCTTTTTAAAAATAATTTTCTTTAATGTTTATTTTTGAGAGAGAGAGAGAGAGACAGGGTGTGAGTCAGGGAGGGGCAGAGAGAGAGGGAGACACAGAATTTGAAAAGGCTTCAGGCTCTGAGCTATCAGCACAGAGCCCGATGCAGGGCTCGAACTTATGAACCATGAGATCATGAGCTAGGCCAAAGTCAGATGCTTAACCGACTGAGCCACCCAGTCACCCCTCCTCCTTCCCTTTAGTATGATGCAATCTTATAAAACCAGCAACAAAGGAAAGCAAAACAAGAAAAGCTCAGGCAAAACACACCAGCAAATAAATTGATAAAGCTCTGGGGACCAAAAAGAAACTGCTACATTTGTATGTAACTGGTGACTGTTTATACAGTTATTAAGTTCATAATTATTGGATACATTTCTGGGCCTGGCCCCATGCTAGGCAATGGAAATACATCCATGCCCTCATGGATAGTCTAATGGCAAAGACAGACAATAACCAAATCATCACATCAGTAAGTATGAAATTGTGGCCTTAATTAGTGCTATAAAGGACTTTTGAATAGTGCTAATAAAAGAGCGTATAAGAGGAAGAGGTACCCCAATTAGGAGTGGGAGGGGGCCAAGGAAGACCTCCTTGAGAAATGAATAGGTTGACGGGGGCAGTGATGGTTGTTACCTAAACTAGGGTAGCGTTATCAGAAAGGGTCAAACCACAGGGTCCTAGGAAATGACAAGTAGATGGTCTTAACCCTCAAAGCAATGTGAAGTCAGGGAAAGATATAAACAAATTTGGGATTTGAAAAGTTTTTTTTTTTTTTTTTGGAATCAGAGTAGAGAACAGATCAGAGGAGAGAAAGAATGGCTTCAGGCAGATGAATTAGGAGACTATTGCAGGAGTCCTGTAATTTATAATTTAGTTCAATTTTCCACAGAGTAATTGTAGACCTATTCATTCTACTTTGGTAAGTCCTAAGGAAATACACCCCAGATACTTGTATGTTCACCAGAAGTTATCAGTGACTAACATTAGACTAATAATATACATTTCAGAATGAATAAAGTTGAATAAATGGGCTTTGGCCAGCCAAGTCAGTGTTAAAATGTATGTGTATTTTTAACAGTCATGATTGTTTTGTCATTATCAATTTTATTTATTTACTTTTAATTTTTTTAAAACATTTATTTATTATTGAGAGACAGAGAGACACAGAGCATGAGCAGGGGAGGGGCTGAGAGATGGAGAGACACAGAATCTGAAGCAGGCTCCAGGCTCTGAGCTGTCAGCACAGAGCCCGACATGGGGCTCCGGCCCACAAACCGCGAGATCATGACCTGAGCCAAAGTCGGGTGCTTAACCGACTGAGCCACCCAGGCGCCCCTGTCATTATCAATTTTAAAAGTTGCCTTTCTTTCCCAGCTGGACCAGCTTGATAATAACAACGTTCCAAGCAACCTTGGAAGTTTGACGTCCTTATTAGTAAAATTTGCACAG